CTAAAAGATTTTCACAAAATACAAACTGATCGGATATACATAAATAATGAAATCTTTTTTATTTCCGAGCTCAGCTGTCAAACACAAAAAATATCCACGAAATATTCATATTCTTTCATTTAAGGGGGTTTGGAGGGCCACTCCCCCTTCATTATTCACCCCCCACACAAAAATTGTTTTACAAATAACTAAACATTTCCCATTTCTTTTATAAAATTGAGATAATGCAATCAAAAAATGTAATGTTTTAGGGTAAATCCAAAACTTGCACGGTCAATTTAAGTGGGTGATCTATTGTCCATACTCCTTCCAAGGACCATCATGTATGTATAGTAGGCTGCGTCACCAAAAAAAGTTGCGGTTTTTGTGGCGGGATTACAAAAAAGACTTCTACCAAAATATTTCGAAAAAATATTGAGATTTACGTGAGCTGGACCGGTTTGAAAATACCTCTAAAAATTAAGTTTTTTGTGAATAAAAATAGTTTATTAAAGGATTTTTTGGAAAAAATCCCCTCAGATGACAAAAGTGTTTAAGCTTAAAAAATCTACATAAAAATATTACAAATTTGTATCACCGCAATCATAATAATGAGATTTATGATGCTGATTTTTAACTTGTATCAAAGATTTGTGTAAGAAAAACTTGAATAACTGCTCCGAAACTTTACCGATATAGACTTATTAGGTAGCAGTGGAAAGGTATTTTCTCACCCTTTTTATTTTTTTTTGCAAAAAAAACCATTCACGTCCCAATTTTTTCTTTATTTATTCTTAATTCAACATGAAATGACACTCGTTTATCTTGCCTTCCTCTTTCATACTTTGAATGAGCTTATTCCCAAAGAAATTAAAAGGGTGAGAAAATATCTTACCAATGATATCTCAGAAGTCTAAATTGGTAAGGTTTTGGCTGAGTTATTCAAGTTTTTCTTAAACCAGTCTTTAAAAAAAGTTCAAAAACAGCACCAAAAATCTCATTATTATGATTCCGTAGAAAATTTGTTTGAAATATTTTTATGCAATTTTTAAGCTTAAACTGTTTAGACATCTGAGGTAATTTTTTCTCAAAAACTATTTAAAAACACTGTTTTTATTAATAAAAAAGTTAATTTTTCAAATCGGTCCAGCTCACGTAAATCATAATATTTTTGCGAGATATTTTGGTGCAGGTCTTAAAATATAATAGATTTTATAATTCCAGTGGAAAAACAGTACCGATTTTTTTTTTTTGTATGGGGGTCACCCCATATATAGTGGCCCTGTGCCAATTGATAGAAAATAGAAAATTTTGACGGATCAAAGTAAAAATTTGACACTTCTCGTGGTGAATACGAACGTCAAAATTTTACCTAGCTCATGGGGCTAGGTAAAATTTTGACAGATTATAACCATGTATACACATAATATTGCTTGGCGGTAATAAGGAGTGAACATGAAAATGAAAGCTGAAACAGCATAAAAAAAGCGTACGTTACTTGCAAATTATAAAATAAACATAAATTTTAAGAATTTCAGCAACACACAAAAATAAAGCTTTCGCAC